TTCCCTTCAGAGCGCGTTTTGTTTGTATACCCCCGTTTACAATCACAAGGCAACGTTAGTTCACAACACTTTGATTAACACAACAGTGATTCGTTCCTGAATTCATGCATAAACTGTCTGCGAGAGATCCCGGACGACGCCACCCATTATGTTGTATATGTTGGTTATACTAAATTTGTTATGTTGTATGCATGCGTGGGTGAAATTATTATGTTGTATATGTGGGTTATGAATATTCAGTGAAAATAATAATAATTAAATGAAATTTGGCCAAATGTGTAATTATCCGGAAATATGTTAATTTATGTAATTATGCACATTTTAATTATGCCAATTCGAGAGGTAATCGTATTAATTATGCGAGTGGGTGTAATTATGATAATGCAAGTCGTTATGATAACCAGACCCCGCCTCGGTGACGAGGGTGGGTTATCGATCGGAATAAGGCAATTAATCGTATGCAGTTATGCAGGTGTGGTGTAAGTATGCAAGATTAACTTAGATTAACTCGGCATCGTTGTCTAGGTTCGTCTCATTCTCGCTTTAACATTCCCAGAGTGTATATTCGTGGTTATATTTTAGGTCCCCGGTTCACCCCGTTATTGCTTTAACATTTACTGAGTATGTATTAGTGTGTTTATTAAGGTCACCAAGTTCAGATCTCAACGCAGAAGCAGATCTTATGCATAGATTTCAGGAAAGAATCACACAACCACTTCTGTATTGATCAATTTATTACTAATTCAACCTTAACTATGATATAGTATGCGAACCCTCAATCCCGGAACGTCAACACGGCATCAATACAGTATCATCAACGATTGTCTGATTTCACTTTGACAACGGCACATGGATCCCGCATAACGCGATGGTTGTTAGTGAGAGAGAGAGTCGTTAAAATATGCAAATACTATGCTAAGAAAACCTTAACGTTAATGAATGATTATACTCAATATTGTTCACGCAGTACCGCACTCCTTATTGATCATACGCAACCCTTATCACGTTGTTAGCACCTTGGGTCACGGGACAGTTGAATATTTTGTAGAGGATGCGAGTACGTGCGGCGATTATGACTGAAAGATACTTGAAAGATTATACGGCGATAAAAAAACACAATCAAAAACAGTTATTATTCTTAAAGGCACCAATCTCAACAGATACATCGGCAGGTTATCTGACAACAGAACGGCTCGGAGTAAGGGCCTGCGACGGTGCTCCTTTTCCGAAGATCGTTATCTTATACCAAGTTTACTAATTGGGGACCAGATCACCTGATAAGGATCCGGTGGGCCACCACTCCCCACGTGAGCGTGGCTCGGCGGAAGGAGGTGCCAAGAATCAGTTCGTATTGATGGATCTGTTGGGAATTTATGCGATTAAGAGTACAGCCCACTAAATATTAAAGATAAAAATTACGAATACTCTTATAAACGACGGATGGCCATCACTCGGTCTCGTTGTGATGCCTTCCCAGCCACGGATGGCTTATGGGTTCGAGTGTGTTTGAGTGGTAAGAGTTGTCTTGAATAGTCAGTGTTCGGAGTCGATTCTTTATGTCAAACAGACGCCTGGTGGTCGTGTGGTGAGGGGGCGGTGCGCGTCATACGTATCAGTCGCTCCCCTGTCACCGTGGTGAACTGGTTCGGATGCCCGTTGATACGCTGTCGCAGTTCGGAACCCGGTCGGTAGGTGGCGCCCACAACTCGCTCGCAGCGTGCAGTGTTGGGTCGTCGACCAGGGTGTGCACGGAGCCTCGTCGCCAAACCGCGACCCTCACCACTCCGGCGGCAGCAGAGACCTCCGACTCGGCAGAGGTTGACCCACGCAGGCCGGGTTGAGCTGTCAAGCGGGTCTTGCCCGCCTGCAGAGGAGATGGGGAGCCGCTTGAGTCGAGCCCCGAGAGCCGGCTTTGGTAAGCCGATCGAACTCGGCTGAGTCCCAGACGAGCTGAAGATGAGTCGAGCCGACCCGCTGGTCGCAGCTCGCTCCTGAGCCGACCCTCCCGGTCGAGCTCGCTCCTGAGTCGACCCGCTGGTCGCACTCGCTCCTGAGTCGACCCGCTGGTCGCACTAGTTTCCAATGCTCAGGATCCTTTCCTTTATGCCGAAAAATCCCCCTGGATCCCGCCCACAAGGCGGGGCTTCTTTCGATTTTTGCTGTGTCAGGATTTGTCCGTAGGCAGGTGTGTCCATGTGTGTGTCCGTACGTCCGTATGTCCTTGTGTGCATCACCCACGGTATATTCCGTTGTCACACTCCCTCCATAAACCCACGAGCAAACAATCAGATGTTACAAATTGCCTCGAGGTCGTCTCTCTGTCTGGGTGCAATATTATCTCTTGTCTGGCCTTCTTCATGAACCCAAAACACAGACGTTACAAATCGTCTCATAGGCGTCTTTGTTCGTGTTGCACAACCTGGAGGGAGGGGCAACACTCTCTCCGACCCGGCGCACAAAGAAATGGTTAAAAAGTTTAAAGTTAACATTTGTCCCTTACTATTTCACAGTTATGATTCTGTATGTAACCTAAGGTCTGTCGTTTCCCATCGTGGTGCTTGACTCAAGTGGAGGTGTTTCCCCGAGCGTATACACACTCCTATCCCGCGCTGCGGGAATACAAAGACGGCCGGGATCTCCCTTTCTCTCCGACCCTGGGTTTAACATCGTTTTTTATTATGTATTTATATTCGACCTGGTGGTGATTCATCCCGTTATCCTGGCTTTTCATAAGTTTTACTTTTGTCTTTTCATGCATATGCTTCGGGTCGAGTTGTATAGAAAGTATTAAAGTATGGAAATAACATTTCGTATTGACTTAATGATGGTGATGGTTCAGTAGGCGTAACTTGTGACCTGGTTTAATTGGAGTGGGTGTGAATATCAAACTTTAGCCTACCCTGTTGTTAAATTCCGACTTTAACGTTACTTTAATAGCAATACAGAATAATTGAGCTTTTTGTCTTAACTAGGCGAACGCGAACTTCTGGTGACCCCCGCAGCCTTGTTGTTCAGCTGGGTCTGCCTCCTTGAGAGATATACAACACTCTTATTCTCGTCTCACTGTGGCCATCCAACCTTCTGCTCTGGGAGTGTTATTCTTAATTTCAGGTCCAAGGCCCCCTCACGTTCAGACGTGCAGGGTTGTTTAAATCAGTTCCCTCCCCTGTGCACACAGCCTTGAGCTGACCCACTTATTCCTTGGCCTTTTTGGGTTTATCTTTGTTCCCTCAGCTGCAGGAGGACAAGGCGTACTTCTACCTCCCCCCTGTGTGCACGTGTTCTAACTAGCTCGGAATCCCTAAACACACAATCAGTGATGATTCCTGGCTTTCTGTGGTTGTGATTTAGACAAAGGCGCCTCTGTTTTCTTCCATTGCCTTTGAGTCGACACTGCCCTATTATTTGCCCATGTGCTGAGGTCATAGAATTCGTTTTGACTTCAGTAATATTAACATTCAGTATTGGATTAGCAAATGGGCAATGGTTCATTGATGTAGCTCGCAGCCTGGTCTCCAATTTGAGCGAGCGCGAGGATCGATAATTTAGCCTACTCTGTTGTTGAATTTCGAGTTTTGACGTTACTTTAAAACCATGCAGGATGGTTGGGCTTTTTGCCTTAACTATGTCTGGCTGACACTCCCACTGTCTCTGCCGCCTGCACGGGTGACATGTACCCGTTCATCAGGCCTTATCTTTCCTTGAAGCAAGGTTGCAAATTCTGCCATCCTAGCCCTCCTCCAGTTCATTACTTAACAACACCTGGTGTTTTGCAGTTTGCTGCGCTTTGGTGTGTTTCCTTCATTAAAAAAACAAGTAAAAAGATAATATATAAAAATATCATCAAATATTATTAATCTCAATTTTGGAAGAAGGGTTAGTATACAACAGGGGGTATGGGGAGAGGGAGGTTTAGTGGGTACGGGAAGTACGGGGGTACCTAGGGATGGAGGGAAGGATGGGCCAGGGAGAATAGGCTGTGTGGGTCTCGAGGGCAGGCGCGGCAACTCGACAAGGAAGGATGTGCTTCTTGCTTCATGCGGAGGGGAAGTCTGTTCCAGGGCAAGATGGGAAAAGGTGCGGAAACGGTGGATTGTGCACGAGGAGAGGGGGACGGTGAGGAGAGATTGAGAGTGGAGCGAGTGGGAGGGGGCATGAAACGAGACGAAGGATGATTTAAATTCCGCCCTTGTGAGTGACGTTTAATCTGAAACATCATTAGGATCTACAAAATGCATCTAGATCAGAATTGGAGTATATATTTATACCGGAGGAATCCGATTAGATGTAAAGCTCTTTTTCACAGATGTCCAGCAGAGGCACGGGGTACAAACGTTACAGAAATAAACACGACACAAACACAATTGGAGTGCAAAACACTTAAATTACACAAATGAAACTAAACAATTATTTATCTTACCAGGTAAAGCCCACTGAGGTATTATTTTTCAGAAGCGACCTGGCCACAATTGATAGCTTAACAAAGTGGATTATCACGTCAAAATTTACCACAGCAAAATATTCTAAATAATTTCAATGCGCCTTTGTAAATGTGGAGGGGAAACAGCCGGATAATAAAAACCCACGCGACCACGGGGAGTGTGGGAGAGAGACACGCAAACTACAAATATACAGCGGCAGGCATCAAGGGTTGGGATCGAACCTACGATGCACTGTGACGCAACAGGTGCGGAGCGGGTGGGCGGTCTGGCGTGGATCGTTACATCGCAGGGAGGAGGCCTTCATCCAGCAGTGGATTGACCATGGCTGATGGTGGTGGTGGTTGTGGTGGAGAAGGCTTGGGGTCGCCTTCAGCAGTGAATTGACTAAGGCTGATGATGATGATGGTGGAGAAGGCTTGAGAAGGCCTTCATCCAGCGTTTGATTAACCATGGCTGATGATGGCGGTGGTGGTGGTGGAGAGGGCTTGGGGTCGCCTTCATCCAGCAGTGGAATGACCATGGCTGGTGACGACGTACGTGTTGCGTGTGTGCTCACAGGTGCCACGTTCACGAGCGGGGGGAGGCTGACGGAGGTGGGTGTGTTTGTGAGGGAGGTGGAGAGGCACACGCTGGATGGCCTCGGGCTGTGCACTTCACTCAAGCCCAGCATTCAAGGTGGACGATTGCGTTTACACTCACAGACACAAAGATTTAACACGTAAGCGTTCGCGACCAAAATTATCCATAATAGAGGCTTTTCGGGTTAGATCGCATAAATATGCAATGTGTCGTTAAACCCGCCACGGCCATTTGATAAGGTTTGTCACCTAAACAAAACATGCCAATTCATTACTCGTTCAGCACACCCGTAATAGCAATACAGGGGCTCATCTACTTATGAACGAGTTTGGTTCCAGAGGTCTGTTCTGTTCGTAAGTCGATTTGTGCGTAAGTACAACTTTACTCCTGACGATTCCAAGCACGTACGGCATGTGGACTAAACACGGGGGAATGGCTTTAAAAGTTATATAATTTCCTGTAGATGTAGATGCCACCGGTTATTCACGTTCTGCAGATGTAGATGCCACCAACGCCATCTATTGCGCGGCGGTTGAACTTACGACTGTCGGTCCGAACAGGCAACTGGACATACGGACAGGATTGTTCGTATCTCTGAAAGTTCATGAGTCGAATGTTTGTAAGTAGAGGAGTCCCTGTGATTCCACGTATATCGCGGCTTTTCATCAAGGATCTCAGAGCGCTGTACAGGACACAGCAGCAGCAGCAGACACTCAGCATAAAAATAATTTTATTATAAATGCATCTTAAGAATCCATTTACTAAATGAACTCACTGTTTAACAAGCGTAAGCGTGTATAAATACGTTTTAGGATGCATACAAAAAAAATGATTTTCAGAGCGATCCCTCTGATACTCTTTGGTTTTTTGGTCTTTTTCGGTAACACAAGTGTGTGTTGCGCCCGAAACGTCTTTTAATTTATTAAAACATTTTATCTACGTGACTTTACCGAAAAAACTAAAGAGTATGAATCCTTGCAGTCACGAAAACTTCAAATCTAGGATCCCTCTGATGTCTCGTGGAAGAGCGTTCCATAGCCTGGGGGCTACGCGGAGAAACATCATCGGTCACTCACAAAGCGAAGACGCCTCGACCTGGGGATGCAGAGAGAAGATCTGCAGCCCCCACATCTTATGGGCCTTGAGGGGGACGTATGGGTGCGGCTTGTCAATGATGTAGGCTGGGGCATCAAGATGGTCCACCGCTTTGTTGAGTTAATAATAAAATATTTAAAAATACTTTTTTTTTTAAACACGCTTTAATGAAATGTACTGTCCGAGCTGCCCCTCCCCCTGCCCCCTTCCCCCATCGCCCCTCCCCCCCTTCCACATCCTCTGTCCCTCGGTGTGGCTCCCCGTTGCTTGCCGTGACGTAAGGGACCACGTGGTGATTTACAGGCAACGTGAGTTGGGCGTCGACAATTAGAGCCGTAAACGTGGACAGTTAGAGCCGTAAAAAAGATTGTTTTAAAATATATATTTTCAATTTTCAATGATAGAATATAGTATTGTCATCAGTATGACATACCTATACCAAGTTTGCAGTCGATAGCACATTGGGAAGTGGGTAAAAATTGAGTTAGAAGATTTTTGAGGATACGACAACAGATGGAGTGAGTTAAATAAAAGCGTGTGAAAGAGGAATTCAAACTGGATTCTATGTGAGACTGAAAGCCACTGCAGGGAGAGCCAAGACGGGTGTAATAAGATGTGACGGTGTTCAGGTTAACAATCTATAGCAGCCGCATTATAACCACGCTGAACGTGCCCACCTCCACAGACGGCGCTGCTGCTACTCGCTACTAACAGCACTTTCCCTGACAGTCTGTTAAGGCTCTACGGTTGGCGGAGTGTGGTGGTGGGGGGAGGTCGATCTTTATGTCTTTGCGTCTGCTGCAGATTTGGCTCCCGCACTGGACCTCAGGAACTGCATCATGAGTCCCAAGAAATGCCACGAGGTGCAGACGATGGCGGGGGCCGTGGCGAGCCTCGCCCAGAGCTGCGGACTCCACCAGGTGAGAGCTACGGGACACAATTTCTTTGTTGATTTAATGTGAGGATATATCCGGGTCGTTGACGGATCACAACTCGTCATGATGATTGGCTCTGCTGGTCCTGGTCCATAGCCAATGGGGGGAAGCCTAGGGGCGTGGCAATGACGTCATGGGAATGGGACATCTGTAAGCAGAGGATTGGTTCTGCTGGCTTTGGCCACAGCCAATGGGGAGACGAGTCAGGGGCGTGGTCCCGGGAGCCTACGGTGGAGTCTGGAAGATTCCATAGAGGCTAACCAGGATTGGTGGAAAGGAACCACGTGACCCGGGTATTAAATAGGGGTGGAGACGAACAACACGTGGTCAGAACTGGAACGAACGGAGGGTGAGGCCACGCGCGAGTGGGGGTCCAGGCTGCCACGTGGTCCAGGCTGCCACATGGTCCAGGCTGCCACGTGGTCCAGGCTGCCACGTGGTCCAGGCTGCCACGTGGTCCAGGCTGCCACGTGGCTGCGCGTGTCTCTCTATCCCTCTCACGCTGTCTGTCAGCAGCGTGAAGGAGTGTTGTAATGAAAGACGAATAAAGACCGGATTCCAGAAGTCCCTTCAACGACCTTTATTACATTAACAGTGGTCAGCCACGGCGGAGGTATTAGTCCTGCCGTGTTTCAGATCTGCCTTGTGCTCGCGAATACGGTCCGACACATGCCGTTTCGTTTCCTCGATGTAACAATCCGCATCGCCAGTTTCTTCAGCCTCCTACCCTCCAGTCCTGCTCACTTCCCAGACCCGGCATTGTGTTGCAGCTTGCACTTCGCCACTCCCCCTACCCCACACCCCCACCCTCTCTATCTCTCCTCCCTGGCTCCCCCCCCCCCCTTACGTGTATATAGCCGCGTGTCACAAGCAGCCTCCTTTTGCCCATTTCAGCAATTTGTTTATTGCTGGGGTTGTTTCCACCTGCTGACGGGTACTTGTGTTGCGCCAGAAACGTCGTGAATTTATTTAATTTTCTACCTACGTGACTTTACCGAAAGAACCAAAGAGTATGGATCATTGCAGTCACGAAAACTTCAGATCTAAATTGTGGCCATGTTTGTTTCTGGGAAAAAAGAGCTGAATAAAGCCAACCCCTGCCTTTACCTGATAAAATAACTAAGTTTGAGTAGTTTTATTAAAGAGCCGCGGGCAACTCGGGAGACGCCAGTGTGGCCCCCGGCGGCCTGTGGTTTTAACCCGCGCCCCGTTCTGCGCGTGCGCACGTGCGCACGTCCTCGCCCGTGTCCCCAGGTGGTGGAACTGGGCTCGGGCAAGTCGTACCTGGGCTCGGAGCTGGCCTGGCGCTACTCGTTCCGCGTCGCCGGCCTGGACTCGAGTCCCACGGTGACGCGGGGAGCCGAGCGGCGGGAGGGGAGGCTGCTGGACAGACGGCGCGGAAGGGGAGGGGGCGGAGGCCGGGCGGCGGGGAGGCCGGGCGAGACGTCGGCCGTCCCGCAGAGTGCACGCCCTGGCGAGGCGGGAGGTCACGCGACGGTGAACGCTCACGTGACCCCCGGCACCGACCTCCAGGTGGTGCTGGCCGACTCCGGGGTGAGCCGACGAGAGCGTGGGGTGCCACAGTGGCGAGTTGTTAACTACCACGCCTGGGCGTGTGGATGTACCTTGAACTTCTTTCGCACCGCCATACGGAGCCGACCCTGCTCATCGGAGGTGCGGGGGAAGGACAATAAACTAAGCGCAAAAAGCAGTTCTAAAGAAACTCGATGATGATTTACAACTGCAGAATAGCTCCCGGTGGCTTCCTAGTATCGGAAGAAAGAGCGTTCAAGATGGCCGCAGAAGCGCATCTGAAAGCGCGCGATGCGGAGTCTGTCTTTGTAGGATGGCCGAGCCAACAGCCGCTGTGAGGATGGTACGGAGGACGGCGTGGGTTCAATCCCGACCCTGACACCTGTTGTATATTTGAAGTTTGCGGTGTCTCTCTCTTTCTCCCTGTGGTCACGTGATTTTTTCTCCGCGTCCTCCGGTTTTTCCCCTCCGCATTTAGAATCAGCATCGCGCGTTTAGAGCATTTAGGTGTGGGGAGCTCCTCCGGCAGGCAAGGCTGCGTTGGCTGGGTCATGTAGCCCGCATGTCCAGCCACCGCATGCCTAAACAGCTTTTGTTCGGCCGGATCGAGGGGGCTAAATGGGCGCGGCACGGGCTAGAGAAGAGATGGAGTGATGTGGTACAGGAGGACGTGGAGCTGAGTGGACTTGCCGATGACCGGTACCAGCGGTGTCAAGATCGGCCTTTGTGGAGGAGGCTCGTGAAGGACGCTACTGGGCAGTTGGAGGCAGTCGCCCTCCAACAACAGCAGAGGGCGGAGGAGCGACGCTCACAACAACGAGTGGAGCGCCGGGTGGCTAAAGCACAGCAAGTTGGCACAGTAGGGGGCACAGGTGGTGCATCAGCCAGTCATCTTGGTCATCTCAGTCAGTCGACCCGTGGCACCTAGGTCTGCCCCGAGACCTCCTGCCAGCGGGCGTTAGACACTTCACGTGGCCTCAAGGTGCACATAGCCTGGCACAAGCGTCGTGGTGACGTCACCGCCACTTAGTGGCGAATGGCGGTTGTTGTTGGAGCGTTAGTGTAGTGGTCTGCGCTACAAACTTGGCGACCCGAGTTCGATTCCCGCTCATGGCCACCAACACCAGTGACGATTATCGGAACCGGTCCTGGACCTCCCCCAGGTCGACTCAGCCTCAAAATTAGTACCTGTTGCGGTGTGCAGTAAACATCGCCACTGGGCGAGACAAAGACCGCCAGGTGTGGTGCTGGCCACCCACCTCCTCGTGTGCCGTGCCAGCCTTCATCGGTGCTTGCTAACAGCACTAGCCCCCAACAGTCTGTGAAGGCTACATGGGGGACCTTCGCCGTTGTTCTTGTAGGTGTGCGTGAGTGAGGGCGTGCTGCTGGCCGGCCTGCACGCGTGTGGCGACCTCTCCTCCACCGCGGTTCGTCTCTTCTGCTCCTCTCCGCATGCCCGCGCCCTCTGCCTCGTCAGCTGCTGCTACCACCGCCTCACAGAGCAAGGAGACGCGGGTACGCACGCACCGCGTAGGCACGCACGCATACGCATATGTCGGCATGCGCACACACATACGTACGCACAAACACGTACATAGGCACGCACACACGCGTGCGTACGCACACACACAGAGCAAGGGGGACACGTACACATATGCACACACACGTGCTTATGTACACACACACGTGCTTACGTACACACACCCAGCGAGGGGACCCACGTACTTACGCACACATGCCCATATGCACACACACACCCGTACACGCACACACAAAGGGCACAAGGACACACATACAGCGCAGGGACACATGTACATACATGCACATAGACCAAACAATCTGTTGACAGTTACACGAGGGATCTTCATTTTTATTGTTTTGCTCTGTGTGTTATGTTACCGGTAATCTGTAGATTCACGTATTCTGTCAGCGTGGTGAAGCACGGTTGAAAGTGACGCTTCATTATTTTTTGTCATTTCTGCAGGTGAGAATCTGTCCTCCTTGCCAGGATTTCCTATGAGCCAGAAGCTGTCCTCAATGCAGTGCATGCTGGGAAGGAATGCCCGCATGACGGCATGTTTGGTAAGGGCAGCACCGACTTCTCTCTCTTTGTCTCTCTCTCGCTGCCTCTGAGCGGCATGGCCATTATGAACCCCTTCACAGAGACATCCAGTCCCAGGGCTCAAACTGAGCATGGGCATCACGGTGGCTAGGAGATGTTATCTACCTCGCCTGGTATACAGGAGGTCGTGGGTTCGATCCCGACCCTGACGCCTGCTGTGTATTTGGAGTTTGTGTGTCTCTCTCTCACTCTTCGTGATCGCGTGGATTTTTCTCCGGGTTCTCCAGTTTTTTCCCCCCACATTTAGAATCAATGTCACACGTTTAGAGTGTCTGGCTGCTATACATTGCCACGTGATGATGATGGTAAGCCACTTCGTTGAGCTATCATTTGTGGCCAGGTCACTTCTGAGAAAGAGCCACACAGCTTGGTGGGGATAGGTGAGCGGGAATCGAACCAGGGTTGCCGAGTTCGTAGCGAGGTTCTACCGCTCCCCACTACACATATGCGTAAAAAATATCTATTTGACCAGGTGATCTGGCCACAAATGATAGCTCAACGAAGTGGATAATCATGATGTGGACATTTATAGCAGTAGCCAAATACTCTAAATGCACGTCGATTCTAAATGTGGAGGGAAAAAGCGGAGGACCCGGAGAAAAATCCACGCGATCACGGAGAGAGAGACACGCGCAGACTCCAAATATACAGCAGGCGTCGGGCTCGGGATCTAACCCATGACCTCCTGCATATGGCCAGGTCACTTCTGATACATGTGTAGTGTGCTCCTCGTCGCTGTGTGTGTGTGTAGCGCACACACGAGGACACGAGGTAGTTGCAGGAGGCACCTTCTCTCTATTTCCGTTACACCAACTCCGGCCTCCCTTCTCAGCCACGTTGCCATACAGCCCGGCCCAGACACGACCCTGACCGCGTTGCACCGACGGCGTCGACCGAGACAGCCAACGACAGTCCGGCCACGTAATTATTGGGCGAAGGCGTCAGCGACGAAGGCGGCGAAGACGACAGCGACGACGAGACGAGTCCACTCCCAGAACCGGCAGCCCAGAGCTCTCCGCTGCTTTTATTCTACTCGGCGTGGCCTGGCTCCGCCCTGGCTCCGCCCTGGCCACGCCTCCCTTCTCGAACCCACGAGCGAGTTCCAGGGGCCTCCCGATGAGGTCTTCCGTGACCCTTGCCCCAGTTCCTCCGCCCTGCCGGCACTCACAGCCGTGTACGCGCTCGGCGGCGTGAGTGCGCTGACTGCCCACCGCAGTTGCCGCTGCTGGACAGCAGTCGGCGCTGTGTCACTACAACAACAACCGCCATTCGCCACTAAGTAGCGGTGACGTCACCACGACGCTTGTGCCAGGCCGTGTGCACCCTGAGGCCACGTGAAGTGTGGCGAAAGCCCGCCGGCAGGAGGTCACGGGGCAGACCCAGGTGCCACGGGTCGACTGACTGAGATGTGTCACTACACATACACACGTACCTACACACGAGTGAATGTTGCTCCCACGCCCATCTAAGTGAACGTTCTCCCCCCCGTGTCTCCCGCAGTCTCGGGAACGAGCGAGGCATGGCAAAGGGGTGAGTGTGCGAGCGCCTCTCTCAACGTGGGTCACGCGAGTGGGAAGCTGCCGCCCACAGTGGGCGGTGGTAGTGGCGGTGGTGGTGGTGGCGGTGGTGGTGGTGGCGATGGCGGTGGTGGCGGTGGCGGTGGTGGTGGTGGTGGAGGCGGTGGTGGTGGAGGCGGTGTTGGTGGTGTTGGTGGTGGTGGAGGCGGTGGTGGTGCTGGTGGCGGTGGTGGTGGCGGTGTAACGGTCGACAGCGCGATTGGTTCATCGTAAAGGTTTTTTGTTTGTGGTTAGATCGCAGTACCGTTGTCACATCGTAACGCACGCGGTGTTTACACAACGCAAATCGCGATCGAAGTGAAACGGTTAGTCAACATCTGATAAGCTGAATTTGCATGCAATCAAACGGTATTGTGGGGTTACTCTCCCGACACACAAGCCAGCGTGCGGCAAAGTCGTCGCCAGCTGGCACGTTCTGTTGACGTGGCAAACCCTCACTCTGCTCGGCCGTGTCGGGTGGCAGTGAGTTTGACGACGCAACGTTTATATTCACGCGATCTCTAACCCAAACAAAAACACCTTCTTTATAAATACGGTCGTGTCCTCCTGTAACGCGGCCGGGGTCGTAGTAGTTGCCTTCCTGAAGAACACCACATGATGGAAAAAGCACGTTATAACAAATAATATATAATGTAGGGTAAAGCAGAGTCCGTGATGATGGCGTGGGATGCGTAACGCAGGGCCTGAACAAAGGCCGAGGTGCGTGGTGTAGTAGCGTCTAGAAGCATCATCCAGCAGCATCCCACAATGCCTTGCGTGATAATGATGATGATGCTACACTATACACTACACTACTATACACTGCACTATACACTACAACAGTAAATCATTGAAAACACAAATTAAGCGATGGGAAACGTTAAGATACAACTTACTTCGTTTCATCAACCCCCCCCCCCCCGTGTGTTTATTAACATTATACAAACACGTTGGTAGAAAAATAATATAATAATAGATCACGACGTTTCGAACGTGACTTTACCGAAAGAACCAAAGAGTATGGATTCCTGCAGTCACGAAAGCTTCAAATCAAGATTATAAAAACATTTGTTGTTGTGTGTTTATTAACATAAAACCACACGATCCTAGTTCCGCTTGCTTCAATCCGCGTGATATCCGCGTCCCATCCGCGTTATAACACAATACACACACTCGTCATCGTGTTTTATACTGGATACAATTGGAGTTCTGAAAACGCCGCACTATGATGGGAGAACGGGCCGGGAGTGTGAACCAACGATGACTTTCACAACTTGATCACCGTGACGTTCCACCGCTGATTGCAACCGGCTTCATCGGGTGATTTTGTTGTTGTTCTCGTTGTTGTTGTCGTTGCCAAAACTGCGACGAACCGGCCGCGTCAAGTGGCGGTGGCGGGTTTAACGACAGCTGCTTTCAGAATTTACAGCGATCTCGAACCCAACGAGAGAGAAAAAAAATAAACCTTTACCGTGGACGATATCGGTCGCAAAAAGCACAACTGGGGCTGGAAATCCAAAGCTCGCCGGTTCCATTCTACCTCCTTAAATGACGCCACTCGTCTCGCCTCCATCCACCCAATTAACACGGTTGGCTACGTACGGTGCGAGAGAAGTTCAACATGCATGCATACTAATGCGTACTCTGGTTCTTTCGGTAAAGTCACATAGGTATCAAATAAAATAAATTAAATCAGGTTGGCGAACTTCAGCAATTATTTCTTGCTGTGGTTGTCCCATCTGATGATGATTGCTTGCGTTTGCGCCCGAAACGTCGTGATTTATTTTATTTTATACTTACGTGACTTTACCGAAAGAACCAAAGAGTATGGATCCCTGCAGTCACGAAAGCTTCAAATCCAGGTTGCATACTAATGACTGATTGTCTGAAAGCATCTGAATGCGTAGAGCACTGCAGAGCTTTGGGGTGTTTGTTTTTACGCCGGATCGCCGCTCGTTGCTGCTGCCCCTTGCCGCTTGGGGAGTCTGTCCAGCAGTGGATAGATCAAGCCTGGCATTGTACTGCGTGTCACCGTTGTGTGTGTGTCAGTGCGTTTGTGTGTGTGTGTGTGTGTCAGTGCGTTTGTGTGTGTGTGTCAGTGCGTTGTGTGTGTGTGTGTCAGTGCGTTGTGTGTGTCAGTGCGTTTGTGTGTGTGTGTCAGTGCGTTTGTGTGTATGTGTCAGTGCGTTTGTGTGACTGTGGTGTGGACAGTGGAGAGCGGCAGTGTAGCGGTTCGCGCTACGCTGCGCTACGAACCCCGGCGACCTGAGTTCCATCCTCGCTCACGGCCAACAACATCGGTGACGATTATCTGAACCGGTCCGAGATCGACTCGGCCTCAAATGAGTACCTGGTGCGGTGTGCAAACATCGCCACTGGGGAGACAAAGGCGGCCGGGCGTGGTGCTGGCCACCCACCCCCTCGTGCGCCGTGCCAGCCTTCATAGGTGCTACTCTCGAACAACACTTGCTCCAACAATCTGTTTAGGCTATACGGGGGATCTTTGTCTTTGTCTGTATTAAGCTCCCTACAGATTCGCTGTTTTTCTGGGCCGTGCTGCAAGTACTCATCCGAGACCATTACGACTCCGGCTCCAGGTATTGAGCGTGAGATGCGGCTCAATGGTTGTGCACGGCTGTCTCCTTCTCCTGCGCAGCTGCAGGGCGTGCGGGTTCGAGCCCCTGACGCTGGCTGTCTTGTCCCTCCCTGGGTGGGATCAGGAAACTCTGCACGTGAAGAAATCGCCCGCCAGGTGTCTCCCTCTGTCTCTCAGATTGGTGGATATTTACCTAAAGAGCTTAACACAAAGCCAAAGGGACAAAGATCCCCCCTCCCCCCGTATAGCCTTAACAGGCTGTTGGGGCAAGTGCTGTTAGTGTAGCGAGAACCTATGATAGGCACGGAGCACAGGGGGGTGGTTAACCAGCCCAAAAACAAAGATCCCCCTTATAGCCTTAACACGGCAGCACCACGGCCGGCCACCTTTGTTTCCCCAGTGTGGCGATGTTTACCCCACACCGTGCCAGGTACTCGTTTTAGGCTGAGTCGACCTAGGGCAGGCCCAAGACCAGTTCAGATATTTATCACCGGTGTTATTGGCCGTGAGCGGGAATCGAACTCGGGTCGCCGGGTTCGTAGCGCAGCGCGCTAACCGCTACACTACCACTTACACATTCACACACTGTGAACACAATCATCACCCGCCTTGATCTACCCACTGCTGGATGAAGGCCTCCCCCTAGGCACCACCACCTCTCAGATCCTACGATTTCGTCGCTCCGTCTACCCGGTGGACTTCCTCTATCACGTAGGGCTGGCAATACCACAGCGGTATCACGTAGGGTTAGCAATAACAGTATCACGTAGGACAGGCTGGCAATACCACGGCAATACCACGGATGTTAACTACCTCGCCTGGTACACAGGAGGTCGACCCTGATGCCTGTTGTATATTTGGAGTTTGCGTGTCTCTCTCCCTGTGGTCGTGTAGATTTTTTTCTGGGTCCTCTGGTTTTTCCCTCCACATTTAGAATCATGCATTTCGAGTATTTGGCTGCTGCACATTTCCACTTGATGATGAGCCACTTCGTTGAGCTATAATTTGTGATGGGCAGGTCACTTCTGAAAAAGAGCTTTCTAGCGCAGTGGGCCTCACCTGGTAACATAAAAAATAGTTTATAGTTTTAATATCACGTAGGGCTGGCAATGGCACAGCGATACCACACAGTGGTACCCCGGAGGTCGAACTTAATTCGTTCCAGAAGGCCATTCGAACACCGATTTGTTTGAACACCAAATTAATTTCCCCCATAAGAATTAATGTAAATGACATTAATTGGTTCCAGACACAAGAAATCTCTCAGTATGAAGCATTTTACACGAATATTACAGTAATCACATGCATAAAATCATACAAAAAAACAAGAAACACAATAAATAAATGGAATGAATGAATAAATATATGGAATAAATGAAATGAATGAACATTGAACTTCACTTTACCTGTAGTAAGGAGAGTTGATGGCTTCAGTGGAAGGTGGTGAGGAGGAGGAGGTGGTGGTGTCGTTGTTTGGAAGGGGATCCCTTTCCACAATAACGTCGGGTAACTGCCCTTCTGGGGTTCTTTCTCTTTTGTGCCTCTTTTCTGCCAGTAACTGTGAGTCACTTGAGCTCTCTCTGACTAAAAACTTATCTAAAGAGGTTTGTTTCTGCCTCTCACACGGTAAAACCTTTGTCTGGGCAAGCGTCATGCACGCTGCTGGGCCATACGCGTCTCAGCCGTACAGGTTCTTTCAAGTCGCGATTGCCCGTTCAACCTCCGAATTTCGTTCGGTTTCCGGAGCAAAAAATGTTCGAAAATATCGTTCGAACACCGATTTGTTCGAGTTCTGGTGCGTTCGATCTCCGAAGTGCTACTGTGTTTGCCAGGAAATACTCCACATCTCATTACTCGCCATGATCTGAGCACCGTTGTTCGGTGTTTTGTTGTTGTTGTTGTTTCTCAGCGACGAGCACGTGGGAAAGGTGTTCTCGAAGAGCCGGAGCTTTGTCGATTACTGCCGAAGAGTCCTGGAAAAGATGGGGCTTGATCACGCCAAGGTGAAACTCTCCGATGCGTTGTCCCCCCGCGTACCTGTTAACCGTGTGGCATCCTGCAAAGATTAACGCCGCTGCAGTTTTCTGGAGGTTAACCCCACCGTAGGTTAACGCCTCCGTGTGTTTAAAGACAAATAAATCTCGCAGAGCAATTGCAAACCCTCCGTTAGAGAACGGAGGGTTTCCACGTGTCTGTGTGTGTGTGTCTGTGTGTGCGTGTCTGTGTGTGCGTGTCTGTGTGTGCGTGTCTGTGTACGTGTCGGTATATCTGTGTGCGTGTCTCTGTGCCCGTGTCTCCATGTACGTCATCGGAACAGGAAAGGGTTAAGTGCAGAATTGAATTGAATATGATTTTGGTGTGCAGAGATTTGTGACTGGGCTGAAGCCATCTATCGATGCAGTCCTGATCTATGTCTGTAGTTTCACGCCACCATAGATGCTCCGTGATTCTTTGCTCGTGTGTGTTCCTATACAGCTCACAGATTCTGAAATCCAGAGCTACCATGACCGTTACATCGACAGAAAGGTCGAACTTGAAGCTTTCAATCAGGTAAACTACTTATTTTACAAGTGACATTCTGTATTCTGATCTCTCTCTCGAAATCAGCTCAAGCCTCTGGTCTCTGTGTGCGTGTCCGTGTCTCTGTCTGCGTGTCTCTGTGTGCGTGTCCGTGTCTCTGTGTGCGTGTCTCTGTCTTGCGTGTTCGTGTCTCTGTGTGCGTGTCCGTGTCTCTGTGTGCGTGTCTCTGTGTGCGTGTCCGTGTCTCTGTGTGTGTGTGTCTGTGTGCGTGTCTCTGTGTGCGTGTCTCTGTGTGCGTGTCTCTGTGTCCGTGTCTCTGTGTCCGTGTCTCTGTGTGCGTGTCCGTGTCTTTGTGTGCGTGTGTCCGTGTCTCTGTGTGGTGTCTCTGTGTGGTGTCTCTGTGCGCGTGTCTCTGTGCGCGTGTCTCTGTCTGCGTGTCCGTGTCTCTGTGCGCGTGTCTCTGTGCACGTGTCTCTGTGCGCGTGTCTCTGTGTGCGTGTCCATGTCTCTGTGTGCGTGTCCGTGTCTCTGTGTGTGTGTGTCTCTGTGTGTGTGTGTCTCTGTGTGTGTGTGTCTCTGTGTGTGTGTCTCTGTGTGCGTGTCTCTGTGTGCGTGTCTCTGTGTCCGTGTCTCTGTGTCCGTGTCTCTGTGTGTGTGTTTCTGTGTGTGTGTCTCTGTGTGTGTGTGTCTCTGTGTGTGCGTGTCTCTGTGCACGTGTCTCTGTGCGCGTGTCTCTGTGTGCGTGTCCATGTCTCTGTGTGCGTGTCCGTGTCTCTGTGTGTGTGTTTCTGTGTGTGTGTCTCTGTGTGTGTGTGTCTCTGTGTGTGCGTGTCTCTGTGCACGTGTCTCTGTGCGCGTGTCTCTGTGTGCGTGTCCATGTCTCTGTGTGCGTGTCCGTGTCTCTGTGTGCGTGTTTCTGTCTCCGTGCATCCAGATGAAAGCCGCCCTCGCTCCCTGTGTGGAAGCTCTCATTTTAACGGATCGCTTGTGCTATCTACAAGAACAGGTAAACACATTCAACTCTTTGTTAATTTGTAAGGAACGAAACAGTAAGACTTCTCCACAAATCTGGCCGTCGCCTGATGAAGCTGGTTGTAATTACTGGCGAAACGTCGTACTCAGATTGTAAATGTTGTGGCTTGGTTCTCCAACACACCTGTGTGCTGTACTAGTATAATACACTATACACTACACTATACAGTACTACACACTACACTATACACTAGACTATACACTACACACTACTATACACTACACTATACACTACACTATACACTCCACTATGCACTCCACTATGCACTACTATACACTACACTATACACTACACTACTATACACTACACTATACACTACACTATACACTACACTATACACTACTATACACTACACTATACACTACACTATACACTACTATACACTACACTATACACTACACTATACACTACACTATGCACTACTATACAGTACACTATACACTACACTATACGCTACACTATACACTACACTACACGCTACACTATACACTACACTACATACTAGTGCTGTACTAGTGACGAATTGGCCACGTTCTGTTTACATGACAACCCTTACTAGTTGGCTGTGTCGGGTGGTGGTGGTTTTACGACACATTTATTTATTTACGCGATCTAACCCAAAGAACCTCTTATGGATGATATTGGTCGCGAAAGCCTCCCACGTGTTAAGAAAATGTAGTCGATTCAGAACGAATACTGAACGATCTTCGACCAACAGATGATGATGGGCGTGCTCAGTGGCAACAATACAAACACTTTACCAGCAGAGCCAGAGATCAATCAAAACCCCGCCCCAATGTTTGTAGAGATATTGCAATGGCTGTACTGTAGGGGCGATCGCGCGGATTTTGGATGTAACCGGAGCACACATATTCGTTGTTCGGTTTCAGCATGTGACCTGTCGTGAACATTTCGAAGAACAGCAATGCATCACTGTTATTAGATGATTAATTTTTGGCTGAAGGGAAAATCCCCGGGTTGTTAGCTCGTGTCAAAATCTCGATTTGAAGCTTTCGTGACTGCAGGAATCCATACTGTCTGGTTCTGTCGGTAAAGTGTCAAAATCTCAGCGCGCCCGGTTAATCTGCAAGTCGGAAAATTAAAATAAATCACAACGTTTCCATTGCAACACAAGCGATCATCGCCGCCGGTGTTGCAATAGAAACGTCGTGATTTATTCTTATTTTATACCTCCGTGACTTTTACCGAAAGGTAGCAGAGAGTTTCGTGTCAAAATCTCAGCGCGCCCGGTGAATCCACAAGTCGGATGATCCGCGCATGCCGACAACCAAGAGTCTATCGTGGAGAGCAGTGGTTCTTAATCTTCACCGTAACCTCAGTCTCAGTCGTACAATGTGTTTTTGTAGAATGTTTATAAACAGACCAGGGGGTTGATGAGACGAAGTAAGTTGTGACTTCACATGCCCCGAGGCTTAATTTGTGTTTCGGTGATTTAGCTTCTAAAAAAAACCTGGCCACGTCTCGCAACCCCCCCCCCCCTAGAAGGGCATCTCGCATCTCCAGGGGATGCAGCGTGCACCCCAGGTTAAGAACCACTGGTGTGTAGTGTATAGTGTAGTGTAGTGTATAGTGTAGTGTATAGTGTAGTGTATAGTGTAGTGTGTAGTGTAGTGTATAGTGTAGTGTATAGTGTAGTGTATAGTAGTGTGTAGTGTAGTGTATAGTGTAGTATATAGTGTAGTGTATAGTGTAGTGTATAATGTAGTGTATAGTGTAGTGTGTAGTGTAGTGTGTAGTGTATAGTGTAGTGTAGTGTGTGGTGTAGTGTATAGTATAGTGTAGTGTGTAGTGTATAGTGTAGTGTATAGTGTAGTGTGTAGTGTAGTGTGTAGTGTATAGTGTAGTGTATAGTGTAGTGTATAGTGTAGTGTATAGTGTAGTGTATAGTGTAGTGTATAGTGTAGTGTATAGTGTAGTGTATAGTGCAGTGTATTGTGTAGTGTATAGTGTAGTGTATAGTGTAGTGTTTAGTAGTGTAGTATATAGTGTAGTGTATAGTGTAGTGTATAGTAGTGTATAGTGTAGTGTATAGTGTAGTGTATAGTGTAGTGTATAGTGTAGTGTATAGTGTAGTGTGTGGTAGATAAGGGGAGCGGTCGTGCCCGCCCGTGACGTCGATCCTCAACGTTGAACAGGGGGTTGCCCACGTGGGCATCGTGCGGCTGTTCCACCCCTTGGTGTCCCCCCGGTGCTTCGCTCTCGTCGCAAGCAAGACGGCCCAACCCGACATCCTCGCCTCCTCGTCGCCCTGAGACAACATCATCATCACCACCCTGCCATCATCGCCCTCGTCACCACCATCATCACTACCACCATCATCACTACCACCATGGTCAACACTGTCATCACCATCATCACCAACATCACATCATCATTACCAACATCATCACCACCACCATCATCACCAACATCATCACCACCATCATCACCACCATCATCACCACCACCACCACCATCACCACCATCATCACTACCACCATGGTCACCACCATCATCACCATCATCACCAACATCATCATCACTACCACCATCATCACTACCACCATCATCACTACCACCATCATCACTACCACCATCATCACTACCACCATCATCACTACCACCATCATCACTACCACCATCATCACTACCACCATCATCACTACCACCATCATCACTACCACCATCATCACTACCACCATCATCACTACCACCATCATCACTACCACCATCATCACTACCACCATCATCACTACCACCATCATCACTACCACCATCATCACTACCACCATCATCACTACCACCATCATCACTACCACCATCATCACTACCACCATCATCACTACCACCATGGTCAACACTGTCATCACCATCATCACCAACACCATCATCACTACCACCATCATCACTACCACCATCATCACTACCACCATCATCACTACCACCATCATCACTACCACCATCATCACTACCACCATCATCACTACCACCATCATCACTACCACCATCATCACTACCACCATGGTCACCACCGTCATCACCATCTTCACTATCACGGGCACCTCCACGAAGCGTCTCACTGCTGCCACTCACTGTGACGATCGAGGGGGACCCCCCCCCCACCCCCGACGCTGGCAGATGGCCCTGTGGGGCACAAGGACAGCTTTCAAAATCACTCGTTCACTCGCCTACCAGCTCACTCACCCACTCACCCGTTCACTCACCCATTCACCCACCCATTCACTCGCCTACCAGCTCACTCACTCACCCACCCACCCACTCACTCACCCACCTACTCACTCGCCTACTTGCTCACTCACTCACCCACTCACTCACTCACCCACCCACTCACTCACCCACCCACCCACCCACCCACTCACCCACCCATTCACTCGCCTACCAGCTCACTCACCCACTCACCCATTCACTCGCCTACTCACTCACTCACCCACCCACCCACCCCCCCCTCCAAGTCACTCACCTACTCGCTCACCCATCTAGCCACTCATCTACTCACCCACCTACTCACCCACCTACTCACTCACATACCCACCCAACTACTCACCCAACTACTCACCCACTCACCCACCCATTCACTCACCTACTTGCTCACCCACCCATCTACTCACCCACCCACCCACTCACCCATCCAATTCACTCACTTACTCGCTCACCCATCTAGCCACTCATCTACTCACCCACCTACTCACTCATATACCCACCCAACTACTCACCCACTTTCCCACCCACCCATTCACTCACCTCCTTGCTCACCCACCCATCCACTCACCCACCCACTCACCCATCCAATTCACTCACCTACTCGCTCACCCATCTAGTCACTCATCTACTCACTGGCCCACCTACTCACTCACATACCCACCCAACTACTCACCCACTCTCCCACCCACCCATTCACTCACCTCCTTGCTCACCCACCCATCCACTCACCCACTCATCCACTCACCCACCCACTCACCTACCCACTCACCCATCCAATTCACTCACCTACTCGCTCACCCATCTAGTCACTCATCTACTCACTGGCCCACCTACTCACTCACATACCCACCCAACTACTCACCCACTCTCCCACCCACCCAGTCACTCACCTACTCGCTCATCCACACACTCACCCACCCACTCACTCACCCACTCACTCACCTACCCAACCACCCACCTAATTGCTCGCCTACCCACCCACCTAATACCCACCCACTCACCTACCCACTCACCTGTTTCCCCATCCACTCACCCACCCACTCACTCACCCACCTACTCACCCACCTACTCACCCACCCACCTACTCACCTACCCACTCACCCGACACTGAGAACAATAGTTATGAAGTTATCTCCGTGTCTACGTTACAGTTCTGTGTAGAATTCTTTTTTTGTAATTTTAAACTACTGCTTAAAGAATAAATATAATATTAATCTATTTTTAACCTACTTTGTTTTCCTTTTGTGCTGGAAATCTCAGAGTGCATCTGTGTCCGCCACCCCATCCCGCCCACCACCCCTACAACTGTCCACCCACCCAGCAGTGATCCGTGTGGTGGGGTAAAGTGTGGTAATCCCACCGCGTGGTGAAGTATGGCCGCAACGGTGACTAGGAGATGTTAACTACCTCGCCTGGTATACAGGAGGTCGTGGGGTCGATCCCGACCCTGACGCCTGCTGTATATTTGGGGTTTGCGTCTTTATCATCATCACGGTGGCTAGGAGATGTTAACTACCTCGCCTGGTATACAGGAGGTCGTGGGTTGAATCCCGACCCTGATGCCTGCTGTGTATTTGGGGTTTGCGTCTTTCTTTATCATCATCACGGTGGCTAGGAGATGTTAACTACCTCGCCTGGTATACAGGAGGTCGTGGGTTGGATCCCGACCCTGACACCTGCTGAGTATTTGGAGTTTGCGTCTCTCTTTATCATCATCACGATGGCTAGGAGATGTTGACTACCTCGCCTGGTATACAGGAGGTCGTGGGGGTCGATCCCGACCCTGATGCCTGCTGCTGCTGTGTATTTGGAGTCTGCGTCTCTCTCTCCCCAGGGTCGTGTGGATTTTTCCCCGGGTCCTCCGGTATTTTCCTCCACATTTTGAATAAACATCACCACACGTTTAGAGTGTTTGGCTGCCGCTCTTAATGTCCACGTGATAAGCCACTTCGCTGAGCTATCATGTGTGACCAGGTC